GCTTAGGTGCTATCCCTTAGCTTTTTTACTCCAGGCTGGTTCTTTACCACTTGAGCTCCACTTACCTCTTTTGCTAGTTCATTGGAGATAAGCATGGACTTTCCTGTCCAGGTTGGCTTCGACCCACAATCCTCAGGTCTCAGCCTCATGAGTAGTTAGGATTACACGTGTGTGCCACCGATGGCTGACTTGAGCTTTGAATGATGCTACCTGTGTATTTCCTTGCCTCAGCAAAGAAACGATTTCTGTTTAGCTCATTTATATTGTCAGCCATTTCTCCTTCAAGATTACAGCCCTGTGGCATAAAATAACCAATGGTTACAAGATGCTGGAGTAGTGGGACAAAGGAGGTAGAAGGACAAAGGAGGGAGCTCCGGCATCAGGAAAGTACCTTGTACTTATGGACTGAAAGTTCTGGATTTTTTTTTTCTTTTTAGCCAGTCATGGGGCTTGAACTCAGGGCCTAGGAGCTATCCCTGAGCTCTTTTTTGCTCAATGCTGGTGCTCTATCACCTGAGATACAGTGCCACTTCACATTTTCTGGTGATTAATTACAGTTAAGCATCTCATAGACTTTCCTGCCTGGGCTGGCTTTGAACCTCGATCCTCAGATCTCAGCCTCCTGAATAGCTAGGATTACAGGCACGAACCACCAGTGCCTGCCTAAGTTCTGGGTTTAGAAACATGCTTCCAGCCAGGCACTGGTGGCTCATGTCCATAATCCTAGCTACTCAGGAGGCTGAGATCTAAGGGTCGTGGTTTAAAGCCAGCCTAGAGAAGAAAAAGCTGGAAGTAGAAATGTGTCTCAAATGGCAGAACACCAGCCTTGATTTAAAAAGCCAAGTAAGAGTATGAAGACCTGAGTTCAAGTCCCAGTACTGGCACAAAAGAAAAAAATATATAAATACCGTTTTTCACAGAATGTACTTTTGAAACCTGTCTTGTCCCATATGCACCAAAAGTTCCTTTGGCTTTGAGTGACTGTCAGTGTGTAATAATGGCCACTGCCTCCCTGCATGGACTTAAGTGCAGTTGCCCGTTTCTCTCTCTCTCTCTGAGTCATTTGTTGGATTGGTGCCTACGATGTTAATTGGAATTCTGGCCCGGAAAGCAACCCTGCTTTTGTGTAGAGATGGATGAAAACCCTGATTCTCACTGGGCCCGCTTCAATAAAGGCCTCTCTTCTCTGCACTCCACCAGGGCCCTTGTGTTGATGTGTGGGGAGTGGGGTCTGCAGGCCACAGCAGAGGGAACTGTCACTCTCCTGCCCTTCTGGCTCTTTTCCCTGGGAGCTCACAGGCTGGTGGAGTGCTTTCCCAGGGCTGGGGGAAGGGAGACAGCCCCCACAGCCCTTTGATGGATTCTGAGTCTCTGCAAGTCTCTTCACTTACATTTATTTTGGTGCCAGTCCTGGGGCTTGAACTCACGGCCTAGGTGCTATCCCTGAGCTTCTGTGCTTAAGGCTAGAACTCTGCCACTTGAGTCACAACTCCTCCACTTTCTACTTTTTTGGGGGGGTAGTTCATTGGTGATAAGAGTCTTATAAACTTTCCTGCCAGGCTGGCTTTGAACCATACTCCTTAGATCTCACCTCCTGGGTAGCTAGGATTACAGATGTGAGCCACCAGCACCTGGCCTTATGGAGTCTTTTTATATCCTTCCAGAATTTCATTTCCCCTCCCTCTCCCATCCTGAATTTGAGACCTATCTTTTAGACAAATAAGACTTTACTCAGTGATTGAAGGTGTGACTCAGTTTTTCTGTTTTTCACGGGAGTTAAAGTTTGGGGACCCCTCCCCGCTTTTAGAAGTTTCTCTCAAATTTGTCTGCCCAGGCTTGCTTTGGACCGTGATCTTCAGGTCTCAGCCTCCTGAGTAGCTACGATTACAGGTGTGAGCTACTAGCATAAATTCCTTTCTTGAGGTGACTCCAAAGTTCTGTTTCCAAGCAAAAGTTTGGAATAGCTGATAGTAGGAAGACCTTGGCAAGAACAGTTGGCTTGGTTGTGTTTTGTTTTTTGTTTTTTTGGCATGTATTGGCATCCATTTTAAGGGTTAGAAGGTAATGGTGACATGAATTGTTAGAGGTAGATTGATTACTTTCTTGAATTGTTTTAGACTTTTTTTGGGGGGTCCAGTCATGGGGCCTGAACTCTGGGCCTGGGCACTGTCCCTCAGCTCTTCAGCTCAAGGCTAGCGCTCGACCACTTGAGCCACAGCGCCACTTCCAGCTTTCTTCTTTTTGCTTATGTGGTGCTGAGGAATCGAACCCAGGGCCTCAGGCATGCAAGGCAAGCGCTCTACCACTGAGCCACCTTCCCAGCCCTAGACTTTTTTTTTTAGTCTAAGACTTGAACTAGGTACCTGACACTTTTGCTCATTGGCTATCGCTCTGCCAGCTGAGCCATGTCTCCATCCCCTAGGTTTCTAAGATAGTTGTCAAACACTGGAATGGCAACTAATGTAAGATAGATCAGTCATTCTAAATCTGGCACTTTCTGTCCTGCACGTGCTGCTCCTCAGGCTTGAATTCAAGGCCTGGGAACTCTCCCTGAACTTTTTTTTTTTTGCTCAAGGCTAGTGCTCTACCACTTGAGCCACAGCTTTGCTTCTGGTTTTTTTGGTGGAGGTCAGCATCTCATGGACTTTTCTGGCCAGGCTGGCTTCAAACTGAGATCCTCAGATCTCAGCCTCCCGAGTAGCTAGGATTACAGATGTGAGCCACTAGGCACACTGCTTAAATCTATCACTTTTTTGTTTTTGTTTTGTGCTGGTGTTTGAACTCAGGGCCTTGCTCTTTCACTTCACTTTTTCACTCCAGGCTAGCACTCTACCACGTGGGCCACATCTCTACCCAAAGAAGGATCCAGATTTTACTCACTTTTCAGCCAAAGAAACAATCTGTGAAGAGACAAGAAAGGAGCTTGGCCTAGGAATGGTAAATTGTGAAGAAAGCTAGCAGGAGTGAAGGGTTAATTTGGTAGGAGCTTGTACAGATCTAGCTGAGCAACAATCTAGTCTGTGATCGTGTGTTTTTTGTTTTGTTTTTTCCTTCCTGGCACACCTCCCTCTCTGGGAAATACTGAGGCCTGTTTTTAAGTAGAAAGGGGGAGAGCTCTTGCTGTCTCTCTATTGCCTTCTGCTCAAAATAGAATTCCACAGTGGCATATTTGGGGATGAGGTAGCCTAAATTCTTCACATATCTATCTACTCACTGACTGCTATTAGAACTTGCCTATCTTGTTCTTCAGTGTGTGTGGCTCCTGGGACTTGAACTCGGGGCCTGGGTGCTGTCCCTGAGCTTCTGTGCTCTAGGCTACTGCTCGACCAGTTGAGCCACAGCTCTACTTCCAGCTTTTTGGTGGTTAACTGGTGATAAGAGTCTCATGAAGTTTACTGCGTGGGCTGGCTTTGAACCATGATCCTCAGATCTCCTGAGTAGCTAGGATTATAGGCATGTGCCACCAGTGCCCAGCTTGTCCTGCCTTTTTAAAAAAATTTCTCTAGTCTTCTGATTTTGTTTCATAGCATTATTTACATCTAATCTCTGCAGTAGGAAGAGGTGGAGGGTAGTTCTAGTTTCCCCACTTTGCAGATACTAGCTTTTTCTACTGCTTCAGAGTAACAGTGGGTTTTTGTTTTGTTTTGTTTTTATTCCATCTATGGATTGTTTCAAATGCTCCTTTAGAAGCAGATAAAAGGTTTTGTGGTCAAATAAAGTTGGCAAATGGTGCACACCATACCTTACTCTTAGAAGATCTTAATGTTTAGCTGGGTGCTGGTAGCTCACACCTGTAATCCTAGCTACTCAGGAGGCTGAGATCTGAGGATCATGGTTCAAAGCCAGCTGGAGCAAAAAAAATCCATGAGACTCTTATTTGCAGTAAACCAGCAAAAAGCCAGAAGTGGAGATGTGGTTCAAGTGGTAGACCATCATCCTTGAGTGAGAAAGTTAAGAGCAGGATGCCCTAAATTCAAGCTCCAGTCCCCACCCTCATCAATAAATACATAAATAAAAAATAAAAACAAGAAAAAGAAACCTGTGGGAAGCTTTTCTGCAGTGATGTCATCCTTTGAGATCTGAAGGAAAAGACAGCAGTTTGAATCTGGAAATGCCAATCCCAGCAGAGAAGACAGCTGGTGTAAAAACTCTAAAGCAAGACCCAGTGTGAGGGCTTTAAAGATCCAGCAGAATATCTGGGAGCAAACTTAGTAGAAGAAGATTCTAATGAGTTCCTGGAGTGAAGCCAGAGAGGCCGCAGAGGATTTCCTTATGCCTGGCGAAAGATTTGAGACTCATCTACACACAGGAGTATATTTCAAGCTCAAAAGCCCTGGCTAAATCCAGAGGACAGAAAAGAACTCTCTAGAAGAAAATCTCAAACACTCACATGCACAGGCTCAAGGCTAATGCTCTTCCACGTTGCATCACAGTTCCACTTAGAGTTTTCTAGTGTTTCATCGGAGATAAGAGTCTCACAGACTTTCCTGCCCAGGTTGGCTTTGAACCATGATCCTCAGATCTGTCTCCTGAGTAGCTAGGATTACAGTCTTGGCTCTTTTCTCTAATTCCTTTTAATAATTTTATTATGCCCTATATGAATGAATATGTGATAATTTCTTTCATTATTCCCTCAATAGCTAATATTTAGATTATTTCCAACTCAAATATACATATGGATTTAGTTCTTGTTTTAAATATCTTTATGAGATATATTGAAGAATTGTTTGTGTTTGTATGTGCTACTCCAGGGGCTTGAACTCAGGGCCTGGGTACTGTCCCTAAGATTTTTTTTTTTCTTGCCCAAGGATAGTGCTCTATCACTTGAGCCACAGTACTACTTCTAATTTGGTCGTTAATTTGAAATAAGAGTCCCATGGACTTTCCTGGCCTGGCTGGCCTTGAATTGTGATCCTTAGATCTCAGCCTTCTGAATAACTAGGTTTATAGGGATGAGCTGCCAAGGAAGTTCTGTAAGATCATTTGTTTTGTTGTTGCAGAACAATGAGATGGTGGAGCTTCAGAGAATCCGGATGAAGGATGAAATCCGTGAGTACAAATTCCGGGAGGCCCGCCTCCTTCAGGACTACACGGAGCTAGAAGAGGAGAACATCACACTGCAAAAGCTGGTGTCCACATTGAAGCAAAACCAGGTGAGCTTTCTGACAGCTAATGTTTAGTTTCCTCTTTCTTAGAAAGAAGCTTGTCAATTAATGTTTATGGCCTTAGTCTTCTCTCTGCAATATTTGTGCTTTACAAAATTCTCAGCCTTCCTATTTGACCTGAAATGTTAAAAAAAAAATACACCTACAAGTAGTGTAATTGCCAATAAAATCTAAACAAATTAATATTGAGTAAGAATAATAACTCTACTTATACTGTAGGGTATTTTTGTTGTTGTTGTTGCTGTTTTGCCAGACCCAGGGCTTGAACTCAGGGCCTGTCTCTGAGCTTCTTTTTGCTCAAGGCTAGCATTCTACCACTTGAGCCACAGGTGCCACTTTTTCTGTTTTTGTGGTACTGAGGAATCGAACCCAGGGCTTCATGTACGCTAGGCTAGCACACTATCACTAAGCCACATTCCCAGCCTATACTTAGTTTCCTATTAATTTTTTTTAGAAGGAAGTTTAAAAGATCATAATAAATTTAACCTGACAACTTCTAATTATAAGCCAGGTCTATAAACTTGGTTTTTGTTTGGTTTCGTTTTGTGCTGGTCCTGGAGTTTGAACTTAGGGCCTAGGCACTGTCACTGAGCTTATTTTTGCTTAAGGCTAGTACTTTACCACTTGAGCCACACCTCTACTTCTGGCTTTTTTGCTGGTAAATTGGAGATAATAGTTTCATGGACTTTCCTGCCAGGGCTGGTTTCAAACCCTGATCCTCAGATTTTAGCCTCCTGAATAGATAGGCTTACAGGCGTGAGTCATCAGTGTCTGGCTGAATATCACAGTTTCAAATGCCTTTTCCCTCTCCATCTTGGCTCTTCTACATTTTGAGGGTTGCAGTCATACTGTTACTAAAATCAATAAGATTTCAGGAGCAATCTCTAAAAGGGAAAAGGCCTTTCTTTGCCTGGCCCTTGAGTCCCAAATTCATGATGTTTTGTGCAGGAAGGAATTTTGGGATCTGTTGAGGAGAGAGACCATGAAAGGTTATGGGTAGGTGGGTGCTTGTGGCTCATGCCTGTAATCTCAGCTCTTCAGGAGGCTGAGATCAGAGGATCATAGTTCAAAGCCAGCTTGAGCAAGAAAGTCTGTGAGATTCTTTTCTCCACTAAACTACAAAAAAAAAAAAAAGCTGGAAATGGAGCTGTGGCTCAAGTGGTAGAGTGCTAGCCTTGAGTACAAAAGCCCAGGGATAGCACCAGAGTTCAAGCCCCAGGACTATCGAGAGAAAGCTGGGTGTGGGGGGGAGGTAGGTTATTTGGTAAAGCAAAGGAACGATAGAAAGATGGCAATGATCCAGATGTGGATGCCAGCACATCTGCTAGTGCATAGGAGGAGAAATAACATCACAGGCTTGGGGGTTTGCCTCATGTGTTCCCCTTTCACCTGACACTTGCTATATTTAGTCATTTTTGCTGTTGCACTGTTTCATCAATTGGGCCTAGAGATTTCAAGGTTGATTTGCTCATAGATGTCTGAGCATTCTTCAGAACAAATTGGCTGGGATGTCCTCTTTAAGATAGGTGCCCATCCCTGACAGAACCTTTTCCTTTTCAAATGCTTTTTGTGCCCAGAGGACTCATTTCCCCAGTAATTCTCCCCAACTCCCCCCAGCAGTTAATTATTTGAGCAAGCAGATAAGAGCGAGGACTGCTGTTTTTTCCCCTTTGGGTTTTTGTTTTTTTTTTAAATCTTTATCTTTTTTTTTGGTCAGTCTGGGGCTTGAACTCTGGGCTTGGGCGCTGTCCCTCAGCTCTTCAGCTCAAGGTGAGTGCTCTACCACTTGAGCCACAGCACCACTTTCGGTTTTCTAGTGGTTTATTGGAGATAAGAGTCTCATGGACTTTCCTGCCCCGGCTGGCTTTGAACCGAGATCCTCAGATCTCAGCCTCATGAGTAGCTAAGATTATGGGGTGAGCCACCGGCGCCCGACTTTTTTTTTTTTGGAATACTGCTACCAGGGCTTGAATTCAAGGGCCTAGGAGCTGTCCCTGAGCTTCTTTTGCTCAAGGCTAGAGCTCTTATCATTGAGACACAGCCCCACCTCCATCTCATGAACTTTTCCACAATGGATTGCAGAATTGTGATCCTCAGATCTCAGCCTCCTGAGTAGCTAGGATGACAGGTCTGGTGCTTTTTACATTATTTTCTCTCTCTCCTTCCTTCCCTTCCCTTCGTCTCTCCCTCCCTTCCCTCCCTCCCTCCCTCCCACTCTCCCTTCCTCCCTCCTTCCCTCCCTCCCTCCCTCCCTCTTTCCCTCCCTTCCTTCCTTCTTTCTGTTGTGAACTCTGGGCCTGGGCACTGTCCCTGAGCTCTTCAGCTCAAGGTCAGTGCTCTACCACTTGAGTCACAGCACCACTTCTGATTTTTTGGTGGTTAATTGGAGATGAAAATCTCATGGACTTGGGCTGGGAAGGTGGCTCAGTGGTAGAGCACTTGCCTTGCATGCCAGAGGCCCTGAGTTCGATTCCTCAGCACCACATAAGCAAAAAGAAAAAAGCCGGAAGTGGCGCTGTGGTTCAAGTGGTAGAGCGCTAGCCTTGAGCTGAAGTGCTGAGGGACAGCACCCAGGCCCAGAGTTCAGGCCCCACAACTGGACACAAAACAAAACAAAACAAAAATCTCATGGACTTTCCTGCTCAGGCTGGCTTTGAAATGTGATCCTCATATCTCGGCCTCCTGTGTAGCTAGGATTACAGGTGTGAGCCAGCAGCACCCAGCATTACATTATTTTCTAGCCTGATATTAGATTCTTTTTCAGGATTTAAGGCCACTAGAGTGTCCAATGGCAGTTTTGTAAGACCCAAATTTTAGTTTTATGAATCTTCTCTAACCTATCTAATACAGGTTGAATATGAGGGCTTAAAGCATGAGATTAAACGATTTGAAGAAGAAACGGTCCTGCTGAACAGCCAGCTAGAGGATGCCATCAGGTTGAAAGAAATCGCTGAGCACCAGCTGGAGGAGGCCCTGGAGACATTAAAGAATGAGAGAGAGCAAAAAAACAACCTGCGGAAGGAGCTGGCCCAGTACATCAATCTCAGCGACAACCACATCAGTCTCTCAGTGGACGGACTCAAGTTCTCCGAGGAGTCTGGCGAGCCGAATAACGACGAGAAGATGAATGGACATATCCACGGGCCTCTGGTGAAGCTGAATGGAGACTATCGGACCCCAGCCTTAAGGAAAGGAGAGTCCTTGCACCCAGTCTCAGATTTATTCAGTGAGCTGAACATTTCAGAGATACAGAAATTGAAGCAGCAGCTTATGCAGGTAAGACCTTGGCCTGGGGCTAGTGGTGGGATTTTTAAATTTTTTGTTTATTTTGTGGTGGGTCCTGGGGTTTGAACTTAGGACTAGATGCTGCCCCTTAGTTTTTGTGCTCAAGGCTAACACTCTACTACTTGAGCCACAGCGCCACTTCTGTCCTTTAGGTAGTAACTCGGAGATACGAGTGTCCTGGGTTTTTCTGTCTGGCCTGGCTTCAAACTGTGATCCTCACATCTCAGCCTCTTGAGAAGCCAGGATTACAGGTGTGAGCCACCAGTGCCTGGCGGGTTGAGAGATTTCTGGTTTGCATGTTTTAGTCCCAGATTATTTATTTATTTATTTATTTATTATTATTGTGTGTATATACATGTGTCTGAATATACCAGTACTGGGACTTGAACCTAGTGCTCTTGATTTGCTTTTTCCCCCTCAAGGATGTCACTTGAGCCACACCTCTATTCTCAAGGTTTTTTTTTGCTCCAGACCAGGCCTCTAATATCTGATGTTTACACTGTACACTCATTTGAGAGCAGGCCTCGAATATGTCATTAGCTTACACTCTATAACTTAAACCACAGCTCCATTTCCAGCTTTTTACTGGAGATAATTTTAATAATTTTAATTGGAAATAAGAGACTCATGGGCTTTCCTGCCTGGGCTGGTGTGGAACTGTGATCCTCAGATCTCAGCCTCCTGAGTAGCTAGGGCCCTGGCTGACTTCCAAAAACTTTATACAAGGAAAAAGGCAGTAAATGCCTTTCTCCATTGCAAACAACTATACAGTTCCAAGTGGCTTTTCCTAGGAACACTCTTAAGCTTTAAAAGGCACAAAAGAAGCTGGGAGGCTGAGATCTGAAGATTACAGTTTGAAGTCTGCCTGGGCAGGAAAGTCTGTGAGATATCTTCAATTAACCACCAAAAAGCCAGAAGTAGAGCTGTAACTCTAGTAGGAGAGAGCTAACCGTGAGGGGGGGAAAAAAAGCGCAGGAACAATGCCCAAGCGGGGCCCTAAGTTCAAGCCCTAGGACTGGCACAAACAAACCAACTCCAAAAAAGGCACAAAAAATTCCTAGATATAAATTAGCCAGGAGACCTACAATTACAAATACAGGTTGAAAATCTGAAGCCAAAAGGTTTTAGATATTCCAACATGAGCTAAGTCTTCAATTTTTAGCATCTTCCAAACAAATACCTTATGAATGTTCATTCAGACTTTTAACTTTATCTTAGTAAACTGTCTTTTGTTGATGTTGGTGATGTTGGTGGTTGTGAGGCTTGAACTCAGAGCCTGGGCACAATCCCTGAGCTCTGTTGATCTAGGCTAGTGTCCTATAACTTGGAGCTACAGCTCCATTTCTGGTTTTCTGGTAGTTAATTGGAGAAAAGAGTCTCCTGGACTTTTCCTGCCTGGGCTGGCTTTGAACCGCTATCCTCAGATCTCAGCTTTCTGAGTAGCTAGGGTTACAGGTGTGAGCCACAGGCACTGGCCTATGTCTTCTTAAGCTTTTTGTTTTACTGCTAGTCCCTAATCAAATGCTAATGGAAATCTTCTCTGCCAGATTGTGGCTTCACTGCCATCTGGGCTTTAAATGTTCTGCAAATTACAGGACTCCTATAGATTTACCCAACCTGGAACCAGTTTAACAAACATAGTAGGTGATTAAATTTGAAGCTTACTCTTCAATTGCAATATTATCCCTCCAAAATAGCTGGTAATGAGAGGCTTAAGACTTGGCCAATCATTTATTTTTTGAGGAAGAAGTTTCTAAGAGAGTATTTGCTTTCTTAGTATTGAATTTGGTTTCAGAGATGAGCATATAATCCTAGCTCCTCAGGAGGCTGAGATTTGAGAATCATGGTTGAAAGCCAAGCCCAGGCAGACAAATTTGTGACACTTTTACTCCAGTTAACCAGCAAAACAGCCGAAGTGGAGGTGTGCTCAAGTGGTAGAACACAGACTGGAATGAAAAAGCCAAATGGGGGTGCAAGGCCTTGAGTTCAAGCTCTGGTGCTAGCAGGAAAAAAAAAAGAATGTTGAAGAATAAGAATAAGAAAGTAGCCCTCAACAGTGAGATTGACATGTGGGAATGGGACCAGACCTCACTGTAGCTCTCCCAAGTTACAGGAGGCTCAGCATCCCTAGTCCCAACTCTGCCCCACCCAGTAAGTACCAGTTATATCACCTTAGTCAATAGGATGACCAACAGTTCCCACACATTCCAGCTGACTGCGGGTCAGCTGCTAGCTTTTTTTTTTTTTTGAGGTTTAACACTTGAACTTCCTATAAAATGGGATTATGAGAGCCCTGTACTGATATTTCACATCTGTAATCCCAGCTACTCAGGAAGCTGAGATCTGGAGGATCACAGTTCCAAGCCAGCCTGGTATAAGAGTCCATGATACTCTTATCTCCAATGAATCACCAAAGCCAGAAGTGGTGCTGTGACTCAAGTGGTAGAGCGTTAGCCTTGAGCACAAAAGCTCAGGGACAAGCCAGGTGCTGTTGGCTCACACCTATAATCCTAGCTACTTAGGAGGCTGAGATGAGGATCATGGTTCAAAGCCAGCCCAGGCAGGAAAGTCCATGGACTCTTATCTCCAGTTAACCATCAGAAAACCAGAAGTGGTACTGTGGCTCAAGTGGTAGAGCACTAGCCTTGAGCTGAAGAGCTGAGGGATAGTGCCCAGGGCCAGAGTTCAAGATTCAAGATTGACCAAAAAAAAAAAAAAAAAAAGCTCAAGGACAGTGCCCAGGCCCCTGAGTTCAAGCCCCAGGATACACACACACACACGCATGCACGTGCGCACACACACACACACATGCACACACAGGAACTATTATTTTTTACCATTTAATTTATAAAGCACCCTGAGTTCAAGCCCCAGGACACACACACACACACACACACACACACACACACACACACACACACACACACACACACACACACACGAACTATTATTTTTTACCATTTAATTTATAAAGCACCCAACTTTTTTACCTGTTGCTAGTCTTGCTATTATTATTTTTATTTTTATTATTACCACCACCAATACCAGGGCTTGGAGTTCAGGGCTTATTCTCTCACTGCTGGCACTCTACCACTTGATTCATGCTTCTAGTCAGGCATTTTACTGGTTCAATAAGAGTCTCTCAGATTTTTTTCTGCCTGGGGTTGTCTTGGGACTGTGATCTTTTGATCGCAGCCTGCTGAGTGGCAGGCTGTCCCTGGGAGTTAGTATACAACATTTCTTTCCAGTTTTTGAACTCTGACTTGTAGTTGTTACAAGCCTGGCATTGCTGCCACTTCTAAGTCCTGTGGGGCCTCAGCTTATTGGGATGTGATAGCTGGTATTTTCATAGTTCCCAACTCTCAAGATTTCTCTGGGCATGAATCCAAAATATTATCTAGTGACAGCTGTGTGCCTGTGCATAGTCATTGTGGACAGTTGTTGACAACATTAAGGCACACAGACCAGGATATAGCATCCTAAAGGAAAATAGAGACAACATTTTTGTTTTTGTTTTTGTCAGTGGTGGAGCTTGAACTCGGGGCCTGCGTGCTGTCTCTGAGCTCTTTTGCTCAAGGCTAGTGCTCTACCACTTTGAGGCACAACACCACTTCCATTTTTCTGGTGGTTGACTGGAAGTAGGAGTCTCATGGCCTTTCCTGCCCAGGTTGGCTTTGAACCATGATTTTTAGATCCCAGCCTTCTAAGTAGTTAGGATTATAGACATGAGCCAACGGTGTTTGGCAAAATGGAATTTTATTTATTTATTTATTTATTTTTTTGTTCGGTCGTGGGGCCTGAACTCTGGACCTTGGCACTGATCCTCAGCTCTTCAGCTCAAGGCTAGCTCAAGGCTCTACCACTTGAGCCACAATGCGACTTCTGGTTTTCTGGTGGCTTATTGGAGATCTGAGTCTCATGAACTTTCCTGCCCAGGCTGACTTTGAACCATGATCCTTATAATCTCAGCCTCCTGAGTAGCTAGGATTACAGGTATGAGCCATTGACACTCGGCAAAATGGAATTTATTTATTTATTTATTTAGGTTGTGGGGTCTGAACTCTGGGCCTGGGCATTGTCCCTCAGATCTTCAGCTCAAGGCTAGTGCTCTACCACTTGAGCCACAGTACCACTTCTGGTTTTTTCTACTTATGTGGTACTCAGGAATCGAACCCATGGCCTCATGCATGCAAAGCAAGCACTCTACCACTGAGCCACCTTCCCAGCCCATCGAAGGGGTTCTTAATTGGGGGAGAAAAAAAATCTTAAAAATTTTCCATTTTGGGGTTGGGAAACCAAACAACAGCAACAACAAAAAAAAACCTTTGATGTTGGGCGCTGGTGGCTCATGTCACCAGCAAGAGCACTACCTTGAGTGGAAAAAGCTAAGGGATAACACCTAGGCCCTGAGTTCAAGCTCCAGTACTGGCACACACACACACACATACACACACACACACACACACACACACACAACTAAAGCAATGTGTTTTTTCCTTCAAACCCACTAAGAAAGCAGATTTTTAAACTGAGAAATATATGAGGCCATGCATATGTTAATTAGTTTAATTTAGCCATTTCACAATGTATCTCTATTTCAGAACATTCTGTTGCACATGTCAAATATTACTTTTATCTGTCAATTAAAGTTAAATGTAAAGCTGGACACTGAAGACGCACACCTGTAATCCTAGTTACTTAGGAGGCTAAGAGCAGAGAGGAGAGTGGTTCAAAGCCAGCTTGGACAGGAAAGTCCATGAGAATCTTATCTCCAATTAACCAACAAAAAGCCAAAAATGGATTTGTGGCCCAAATAGTCAAACACCAGCCTTGAGAGAAAAAGCTAAGGGATAACACCCATGGTCTGAATTTAGGCCTCATTACACACACACACACACACACACACACACACACACGAATTTTAAAGAATTATTTCGAAGATAGCAAACCTAGGTTGTACTTTGTTGGTCTTTTTTTACCTTGTAAGACTC